CAATATTAAGCTGCCTTGGGAAACATTTTACTAGTATTTTGAAACAAAACGATTAGAAATCTATACACAAAATGTCAGTCTGATTAACGAAAGTCAAACAGATTTCAGAAAAGGGTACTCTACTTTAGATAATATGTTGATTTTGCATTTTTTGTTGCAAGCACTTATTAATAGCAAGAAAAAAGTTATATTGTGCGTTCATCGATTTTAAACAGGCTTTTGATACTGTTTGGAGAGATGGTCTTTTGTACAAATTATTTTCAAATGGTGTTAGTGGGAACGTTTCACCTATATCATAAATATGCATGCAGGCATAAAATCAAGAATAAATGTGAAAAGCGTGTCTTCTGAATTTTTCAACTGCAATGTCGGGGTCAGAGAAGGTGAAAATCTATCACCTTTTTTTTTATTTTCATTGTATACCAATGACTTAGAAAATTATCTTACAGGAAGGAATGTTAACGGTTTAGAGAGTCTGTCTAAGGAGATTGAAGATGGCCTTACCGTTTTCATCAAACTTTTTATATTATTTTATGCAGATGATACTGTTATTTTGTCTGAAACAGGGAACTTAAACAAAATCATTCATGCCACCGTCTATCAGTACTACAGTACTTTGATTCTCTATAGTCATGCAACTAATATCTGACACTTTGAACATGTTACACTGTGCATGTGCCATCAATAAATCTGCCTGATGTGAAGTTTCATTGGAATTCCCGCTCACGCGAAGTTAGTTGGAGAACAATATTTTCAAACTTTCCCCTAGAAATACTATCATATTAAAGGTATCCGATCCATAATAGCCTCAGATTCAATGAATCTGAATGCATAACAGATAAATATTGGCTGAATACTCAGTATATGTAGACATAATCTTCATGTTTGAGTATCAATATGTAAAAGTGGAATGTGTCCTAATCTTTGACCTTGTCCTGTCCTTGAAGAGTTATCCCCCTTATCTGACACTTTGAACATGTTACACTGTGCATGTGCCATCAATAAATCTGCCTGATATGAAGTTTCATTTGAATTCCCGCTCACGCGAAGTTAGTTGGAGAACAATATTTTCAAACTTTCCCCTAGAAATACTATCATATTAAAGGTATCCGATCCATAATAGCCTCAGATTCAATGAATCTGAATGCATAACAGATATATATTGGCTGAATACTCAGTATATGTAGACATAATCTTCATGTTTGAGTATCATTATGTAAAAGTGGAATGTGTCCTAATCTTTGACCTTGTCCTGTCCTTGAAGAGTTATCCCCCTTTGCTTTTAATCAATAAAAAGCAATTCTAAAAAAATCCATCCGGTAAAAAATTAGTTTTCAATCGTTTTTCTATTCCTAATAATTAAATACATCTTTCCACCAAAGCATTTTTCGATATTCTTAGTATATAAATATTTATTTTAAAAAATTTGCTTGTCCCCATAGACCTCAATGCATTCTTCATTTATTAATTACTGCTTAGGTAATTATAATTTTGAAAATTTCTCCTGGTAAATCCTTTTCTACTCTGAAATGCTTTGATTTGATTTCCGAGTATTTAATACAGGATGGATATTTAAGGTTAGAAAATTAGGTCCTTTTATGGATCGGATACCTTAAATCAGTTTAACAATTATGCATATAATATTTTGTTATTATTTGAGCTAACTACATCGATATCTTTAATTCTTATATGCTTAAATCAATATTTTTCAAATCAATTATTTTTTAAGTCGATACAACTTTTAGTAATAAAATTTATCATACAGAAAAGACGCTCTAAATTATGAAAAAAAAATACCCAAAGCAATAAAACATATAAATGAAAATAAGAAATAATAACAGATTACTTGTTGAAAAGACAATAAAAAGTAAGACAATGTACAAAAGTGTAACACAACAAGTGTAGAATCCTTTACGCTTCCGTAGTACGAGGTGTCTAGGAGGTGTAAGCATTCCCTGCTGACTGATCACACCCGCTGTGAGCCCTATGTATAGATCAGATAGACGGAATATTCTGTATTAGACATGAATCTGAGCATGTAATGGGAGTATAACTTTCTCGTTGTTAAATACAACTGTTTTCAAAACATATTTGTAGTCTGTGTTTTACATAAATGTGAAACAGGTTTTTAAAAAATACTTAAATGGACATTACTACATGAAAATGCCCATAATAATTTATTACGCTGCAAGGTTAAGGATATTCATAATTACGCGTCAACCTATTCATAAAACTGATGACGTCACTTAAATAAATCTCGATTATTCTCGATGATTAAATACGATAAATAGAGAATAATACATGCTAAAATCCATATCATATGTCATATCAGTCCGAGGGCCGATATGGGACCCGAGGGCTGATATGACATATGATATGGATTTCAGTATGTAGTATTCTATTTATCATATATTTAAAATACTTAATACGCGAGTTCATATAAAATCATTGAAGAATGTTTCGTGCAAGTTAATGACCTTTTTCTTGAAAGTCTAATAAAGCAAATTTTAAGTCTTTAAAAACAAATTAAGTCCACAGATGTTTGTAAAGAATCCTTTTACATGTATATTGAAATAAAATCAAGTTAATTAACTTTTAAACTTTAAACAAGCGTTACTTCCGGTTTGATATGGATTTTTGCCCGCCGGTCCGATCCGTGATATGGATTTTCGGACCGGTCCTTGATATGTGATATTGTGGCGTCACCCGTATCGCACTGTGCAGAAACGGTGTATTTACTACTAAGTATATGATACAGTCAATTTTTACATACTCAGATACTATAGTTTCTGATAAATAGCAGGCACGTAGTATCGGGGGGGGGGGGGGGGGGAGGCGGCTCCCCCGCACTTTTTTTGCAAACACAAGTTTTTCTATAGGAAATGTTCATTGAAAGACCGGTTGCCCCCTCCCTCCCACTTTTGGTTGCAGTATTGTCAAATAAGGGTTATATAAGGGAATGCAGTGTTTGAATTAAAAGAAAATTGGTACTTCAGGGTTAGGGTTAGGGGGATCTATGAAGCTGAGCTTTGGTATATGGATTCCTTGAAGTCTTCTTAATCTTTTATGTACGAAGAAGTTGGAATCTAAACACCCCCCCCCCCCACACGAAATAGGTTTTTCGAGTTTGCAGAATTTTCCTTTTTTTTTTTTTTTTTTTTTTTTTTTGCTTGTCAAGTTTTTTCAGGTAAGTTGAAATTATTTTCCTCGGGTTGCCCCCCCCCCCCACTTTCAAAAACGATGCTACGTCACTGAATAGTGTAAAAATTGTATAAATATTGTAAAGATAAAACGATGTGCATCTAATATTGCCTTAATAGCATTTAGCAAATGTAGAATGAAAGCCAACTTGATCTCGCTGTACTTACTGAGATGGTGTAAATTCATAGCTTCGCACGCAGTCTCTCTGTACTTGAGGTGTGGATCAAGCTATTATCGTAGCTTGTAAAAATAAAAACAAATACGAAACAAGCTTAGTCAGACTAAAATAGGGATATATTCTTGAATAAACTAAATTGAAAATGTGTAGACTTTATATAAAGCTGTACGGGGGTACAGTTGTACAATAATGTGCTAGAATGACAGTTTCAGCCCCTCAAAGCTATCAAAAGTTGAACAACAACTGCTTCACTATCAATTCTGAATTTTAAAATACGTGTAGGTATTATCTCTTCCATTTTACTGGGAGGTTGTTGTGCAGTGTTGATTCATTCCGTAAAATTCGACCCTTGACTTGATGTTATATGCTGAAAGCTGCTTTTGTTTTCTTTTCCCTTCAATGCATTTGAAATATGTTATAAGTGGAGTTTTCAACGTACGATTTGCTTCGTTTGCAAAAAAAAGGGGGAAACGAACCAGATGTAAAGACTTTTTTCCGCTGACTTTACGAAGGACATAAACTGACAAAGATGCATAGAGATCTTGTTACATGAATATGATTCCACACGACTTTCTTTAATCACTTCTTCCTCCTTTCTTTTCTTTTTTTTTTTTTTTTTTTTTTTTTTTTTTTTTTTTTTTTTTTTTGCAGATTCATTCTTTATTAAACAACGAAGTAAATTTCACAAGTTTATGAATATATTTGTCCATGGAAATTTGCAAGGAATAGAAAAATACACATATCCTATTTGAAGTAGTCTATAAATTTTAAATACCATAAAATCATGATTGAGATATTAATAACAATTTGAGTTCCTTAGAATGAAAAGGAAATGTAAGCCATTAAAACAATTTCTTTGAAAATCACAATGATAATAAAACAATTTACTATATGCACGTATTTCAAAACATTCAGTCTTTAAAAAAGCATAATATTTGAACTCATATTCAAATGTAAATACATCAAGGCTGGTACGGAGGAGGATCCCCCCATTTAAGATCTTCTGTGGAATAAGCGAGGTTATTTATCCTGTGTGTATTGTTTTCTGCGCTCTGGATATTGACAGTCGAACCTGTTTTACTATTCCTGTACAGAAGAAACATACACTTGTATTTAATATATAATTTAACTTTTGAATTGTTATATGCTATATATTATGTTTGTTTTAATAGATAGAGACCGAACTAGAAAAGTCTGGGTGAGGATTAATGGTGAGGTTAATGCTAAGAATAAGAATCCGTTCTTAAGAATACATTTTGTATGCATATATTAAAATCAATTAGATGTTCTCAAACGGGAAAAAATATTTGGTTGATAAATTATCCACAAACGTTTATCCACAAGAAACCCTCCCATTCTTTAAATTAATATCAGTTTTGCACCAGTGTAATATAAAAAAAAATCAAGGTAAAATCTGGAAAAAAAAACTATAATAACGAACCCTTTAACGTATCTCTTTTTCATAATTATCAGCATCACAACAAGTATGAGAATCAGCACACCAAGTATTACGCCGAGAATAATCGTCAGATCTACATGCTTATGACCGCCATCGTCTGAAAATTCATATAAGTTGAATGAACTTGTTTGGCCAGAAGAGAAAAACAAACATACATTCATCTCATTGTTTATCAAAGTTTGTTTTACCATCTGAATCTGATTTTCTCTTATCATCTCCACATGGTTGGTCACCTAAAATTATAACAATGCAAACAGTTAAAGTTACGGTTGAGAAATCATTTTAAATCTTTTAACCTGTACCTGTAATGGAAGTGAAATTACAACACAAAACACAATCTATATTTCGCATACCGAAGCAATACCGCGAAGGGCAAGTATCCAATCCCTTTAGACAGTACGCAGTGTATTTGCCACAGTTCTTTACTTTGATGTCATACGATTTAGAACAACAGCTGTGGAAACCTCTTTGGCATGCCTGTCTTGTAACAACTCCATCGCCAATGTTGGGGACACTTCCTGTTTACAACGTAAAGTTTAATTCTTTAATTGACACAGCCCTCGGCTATTCTAACAGACATTTGATGTCTCAAATACAAATTCCTATTTGTGTAAAGGGGAGGATTCCTATTTCCCACATAAACAACCTGAGTATTTAAATTATACCCACCATTCATCCATACAGGGTAAATTGATCCACAGCTTAAAAGCTTTGGACACTGATTCATTATAGGAGAGTCAGCTTTATACCATCCAGCTGTCAGGTGATCGTCACAGTACCCCCGTCCTTGTTTGTATCCACAATTCATGGATCGATATTCAGTCTGTGTCAATGTTTGGAGGTTGCTTTCTATGCAAGGATCTATTAAAGCAAATGTTACACATATTATTTGTGTTTTATTTTGTATTTGGAAATATAATTTCTATATAAACATATGAAAACTTAAAATTTTCTGAATTTTTCATTAACATACCCTCAGAGCATGTTGTTGGTGGGCTGACCGTAGTTGGTTTTGATGTTGTTGTGGTCGACGTTGTACTAGCAGTTGGGTATTCACATAATCCTTGTTTTCCTATTCATAAAAACAGGTCAATTCTGTTTCAATTCCATCTATCTAATACATTTTAATTTTTTATAAGATATTACATACCGTTATTATATTTTTCATGTTTGAATACACCTTTTAAATTTGTTCGTGGTAATACATTTCTTATATAAAGTAAACCTCAAAAATTTACCAATGTTAGGCCTTCAAAACATCTCACCAAAACAATATCGTTCGGAACAGGAATCGAGAGCCCCCAGACAATAAGCGTGGAATGTTCCGCAGTGCTTGATCTGGACATCATACTCCTTTGAACAACAAGATGAAAATCCGACCTTGCATACTTTTCTTTCAACAATGCCGTCACTAGTTGTGGGCAAAGATCCTGACAGTAAGAGGTATTTAAATTGTAGACATTTGCAATTTACTTCACATCAATATAAGTATTGTAGTTTTGTGTTAGTGTTTCTAAGCAAGGTTATTAAGCAGATATAAGATTTAAACTTTTAATCAATACATGTATAATCTGTACTCTACGCCATTTAATCACATTAAATATAATGTTAATTAAGAAAGATTAATTGATCACCCACCTTTTAACCAAAGTGGATAAACGGCACCACAGCTCAGAAGCTCTGGGCATTGCGTCAGCATTGTGTCATTTACTCGGTACCACTGAGGAGTTATATAACGGTCACATGGTGCGTAGTTTGAATTATACTGGCAATTTTCAAATCGTGAATAAGGTTCAAAGAATGAAGAAGCATTTGCTTGCGCACATGGATCTAAAGTTAAAAAAAAAAAATTAAAAAAATACAAAAAAGAACGTATTTTGTAAGTTTGAGGAATAAAGATTAAGACAGATTTTTAAAGCAGTATATGTTTAATAATCATACCTGCAACATTGCAATAATATATGGCGCCTAAAATATAATAATTTAATGTTTAAATATATCAAATCGTCATTTGGACAAAAACAGTCAATTCATAGTGACAATTTTTTAATCATAGGACAACCTCCCGTATTAAAACCGAGAATGAGGCATAAAAGATGTAGAGTTGCCCAAATGGAGTCCATTTCAGGAAAAGCAGGTACACCGTATCTGAATAAAGAGAAAGGTTTTTTTAAACTTCTTTTCTGATTAGTTATATTAAAAAGATATATTTATTACATCAATTATTTCATTTTTATTTTTTTTTATTTACGTTGTTTGATATATTTCTTTGCCTACTTATCTCAATTAAAAACCTAATGAAAATTTAACAAAGTATATATAACAGCACAAAATTAATTTAATGAAATTTCAAAATTGTGTAAACCTAAATAAATATTCAGAGACAAAAGTTTCTGGCATTTATATTCAAATTTAGAGAGGAATTAATTGTTTTACCTTTTATTTCCAATCCTCTACAGCGCTTATGTATTTACAGAGTCTAGACGTCTTTTTGTCAGGTCAAAAGTAGGAAGTTAAATAATTGCAGATATCACTTAAGTTATCACAAAGGTATGAATGTATGAATATTTATGTTTGATCTACTTTAACGTGATTAGTCAATATGTAACTATGGACATTTAAAAACACCGCCGGGATTCCCCTTGGCTGGCAATTCAAATACCACAGCAAACTTCATTTGTATTAATCTTTTGAGTTATTGCCAAACGTTCACAATTCCTTGAACGAAAAAAAAGGTCTTAGTCTTTTTATAGAACTCTGCATACTGAAAAAAATAGAAGAACGTTTTATATATTAAAAAAAAATGTCATGCTTAAGAAAACTGCATGAGATACTTGAATGACGAAAAAACTCGGGTTTTCCTCGAAGAAAATGCTGAAGCATTATTATACGAATCAAAATTCTTTCCATTTAGTACGAGACTTTTATATCAGTCTTCCCGCGTATTTCATGCGCATGTTTAAAATATCACAGCTGTGTTTTAAGTATACATGTGTTAATCGAGAACTCTGTTTCTCTTTGAGGAGGAAAAAAAGAGAAATCTTGATTAAATCCGACATTTCAATAAGAATAATCTTAAATAACAATTAAGTTCAGTAGGTACTTTCCCCTTTTAAATCCAGTTTCATTGTATTGCATTTTGAAGATTTAGTTTAAGAAAATTGATCAGAATTCACCATGGTTGTAAAAGGATGCATGTAAGAAGCCTTGTTCCATTTGAGATGTAATTTTTTATCTCATAGTAATTAGATAAATTAATATATCATTCTGTTTTGGAAATTATACGAATTTAGCATGTGTCTTTTTAATTTATATCAACTTGTAGAAGAGCTTTTTTTTTAATTTTGATAACGGAAATGTAAAAATCTAATATTCACAAAATATTAATGTTTAATAAGATTCAGGAAAAAAATCGGTTCATTAAAACTGTTAATATTTTTTAATGTAACGAAATTTATATTATAACATTGGTATGTTACTTACGCAGGACTGTTAAGGCGTACTACGAATAAGTCAACGGAATATATACGTGCATAAATACATACTATTTTAAACTGAATTAGTTTTTGTAAAGCTACTATATTATCACATGACTTTAATTTTAATTGAAATAACATTGTATACCTCGCTCGGTACGGAATTTGGTTTGTTCACGTTATTTGACAGTCACGTGATAAATGCATGTAATGTGTACTGTATGTAGGTCATAAACAAATTTCAATATCGCAAGGGCATACCCTAGTTAGAATTAAAAATTTCAGTAATAAATTGTATCTACATAACTTGTAGTTTATGAAGAGTGCTGCTGCTTTAAATAGAATTCGCATTTTATTAGTTTAAATTTCAAGTTATTTGGCTATAGTCGAAATATGTGTGACCTTTGCCATGTATTTTATTTATTTATTTAGTAATGCTCTCGATTTCAGGAAAGCAGCAGCACTTTTCAAATTAAGGAATGTTTCCGTTATGCATATTCAAAAAATGGTCAAGATCTATTAAGTGTATGCCCTTGCGAAAAGGCGATTTAATGAGGCACCTCGGAGTGAAACATGCACACCCTGTACATAAAAACACGGTAGAATTAATTCAATACATTCTTTCGATAGTTTTTAAATAATGGCACAAAACAAAGGTTTCAGATTTGTAATAATGGTCTACCTAAGATTTGCAAATAATATTCTGTTTAATAATAAAATGCGTTTTTCACTGTGGAAAAATAACTTGATCCGCCTCTCACTGCACATAAAATGCGTCAAATTTTACCATGATGACGTCATGTCGACAAGTGCATTGCGATCAGTGACTTGTTTATATCTTGCTGTGTGGGATTTAACTAGCGACAAAAATGAATGCAGTGGAAAGTTTTGATGTAGTTCATCACTCTTATGCAGTTTAAAACCGCAAATTATTTCATTTTCTATTGTTTTGAGGAATTGCTATATTTGTGTGATGTCACAGTAGACATTTCCCGTATAAATTAGGCCCTGCCCACTTTATGCAGCCTTAACAGAGCTGCGTAGCACGCAGATCAAAAATTCGCATTTTTTCTTATAATGGAACATTGATAAATCACAAAAGACTCAGACCAAATGACATCATGTGTCATCTATAAATAGAAAAAAACAACACCTTAATTAAATGAGAGAAGTTCAACACTAACCAAGGGATAATTTATTTCTTAATTAAATCTAACAAACTGAATAAAACAAAGATAAAATCTGGAAACAGCAAAGTGCCTCAAAATCCTATTCCACTGTCACTTAAAGAATTATTTCAAACTTTTCGAATAAAAACCTACCAAATTCTTTACATTTTGTACACAACACTGGGTTCTCCATGGACCATTGTGGTGGCCCGACACAGTTAAATTCCGTTGCACCACAGATTAAAAATCAGCGTCATAGATTTCGCCACAGTAAAGCATTAGCGCCACAGTAAGGTTGTCGTCGATCAGGAAGTTCACTTTCAATACTGCTGTTATTTTCTTTATTCCATCATAAAACTAGCTCAGTTGACTTGGCTTTGGAACATAAAGATAAATGTATAAATTTGTTAATTTCAAAATGACCCGAACTTCCTCTGCCGTTTATAGGACATTTTAGATGCATAATTTACTTTTTTGTAAACATAACTTCGTTCTTTCTGGTACTATTTATTCAGATTCTATAAGGTAAATTAGCTAATATTTGGGTTTTTTATAATTACATTGTACCTATACACTTTGGTGTACGTGTGTGTGTTGGGGGGGGGGGGGATAAAACAATCACGTTATGCAATGGAAACATTCTAACTTTTGTTTCACATTAAATATGCTTACTCAATATCCATTTATTGGTTGAAATATTTTTTTCATGTTTCAAATTACAAAAAAAAAAAAAATAATAAAATAAAATAAATAAATACCATTCGTGTATTAAACTTGTAATTCAAAGGAGCGGTGTATTTTCCAATTTGTTTTGTTGTTTCTTTGCAAATTCGATCGCGACATGAAAACAAAAGTAACGACCTTGCGTAAGTTTTGAGTCACAATTTAATTTGAAATGATGGAAATCTTTGTCACATAAAAAAAATCATCAATCTTGTTAAATCACTGATTTTAGCAGCACTTCCCGAGTTCAATAGAACATAAGCTCTCAATATCGAAAAAAAATGTTTTAAAATATGTAGCAAAGTTTTGAACTTCTGCATCTTTTTGTTAAGAACGTTAGAGGAATGGTTGATCGGGATTTACAAAGCATATTCTTTCTTTATTGTAAGGGAAAAATGATAAAAAATAAATCAGTTTAATTCTTTAACTTTAATTCCTAAAGATCCGAACACGATATTCAGTTACACCCCCGTTAACCGCCGTTTCATATTTTTTTATATGAATTCTAAGTCCGTTTCAATTTTGCTCGACGATTAAAGTTCTTACAATTTTTCATCAATTTCCTGCCAGTGTCTTGTAAACTTCTCAAATTTACAGTTTTTTAGCAGTTAAAACTTTTTATCTCTATTTCTCTCGGTAATAACATGTTTTAATTCCTCAACGCTTATTTTAATTTGATTTCTGAACTAACCTGAAAAAATATATACAGTTTGATCAATAGTTTCAGTAGCATACCATAGAAGGAACATACTGGTGAAACTTGACTGATACTTTTTTAAGCTGTTTAATTTTTTACTTTGTTCACAACTGATTTGCGTATCATGAAGTATTTCCAAAATACCTGCGAATGCTGCATCTATTTTTACATCTAAGATTTTCCTAGTTTTCTGACTATAAAAGATGATCAGCAATAGGATTGTTTAAAATAGAAACACAAGAATGACACAGATTTAGAAATATAAAAATGAAATGATTAAGAAGAACTGCCTTTGCAATTAACTTTTTTGGTTGTAGTATATAATTCAAATTTAATGGTATTGGCACCAACGCATGATAGTTTGTCAACAAGTTTGCAAGTGAAATCTGTCATACAGAGTCCTAAAGAGAGGGAAAATATATCCGTGAATCAATGGCAATTCTCTTTGAATTCCTTCACAAAAACTGAACACGTACAAGGATTTCCAAATTGGTCTGAAAAAAAAGTCATACGATGAATCTTTCTTTGTTCAAAAATCAACATTTATTCTATGTGTGTACAATGTATTTATAGGTCTGACAAATGTTTAAAATGTTAAATGTTTATAAGAAGAGACAGCTAATATTTCTTCCGGGAAAGAATTAATTGGCTGATAGATTAAGCTTTCTACGTCATTGATCAAATAGCTTTTTGTGCTTGATTTTCTTTAAAGGGAAGGGGCGATTTGAGAAAAGTTTAAATCAGCCTTTTTGAAATACCCTGCAATGCCTTGAATACCTCCACTGTATTGTGCAGAGGATATTAAGCATTAAGAAAAGTTAAATTTAAAGGCATAGATTATGATATCCGTGCTTATTATGATTTAACATTGGCATTTGCAGATTAAGGATATATTTTTTCGTGAAGATTAAGCACTTCTTCATGGCGTTTGCTATTGTCTGTGTTTGTTGGCTTATATTAGTATTCGGATCGACATTCATGGGTAAGAGTTATCCATTTAATATTCTTGTACGTAATATACAAAAGAACAAATCATAAGAAAATTTATGAAAGGGGATAGCAATATATATAT